ATAGCCTGAAAAAAACTGATAATACTACAAAATGTACCTTATTTACAACTGTCTTTGTTGCCTCTGTGAAGTTCTAGCTATATTTAAAGACACATTATTCATTGAAATCCTCACTGTGGAATTGAGGGTAAGCCAGCGTGTAAATGATTGAGATCTTTAGAACATGCCACTCAGATATCTTTTTTTTCTAAAATGCTTGAAAACGATTAGAAGTGACTTATAATAAACGTAAACAAACGGCAGATTTTACCAAATCCTCATTCTTACGTGTCTCCGATTTGCTGCTCTCAGTGCGCTATTCCAACTATACTTTATATGAAAAGGCAGTGAGTCTTTGTCATTAGGATGCTGCAGTAAAAAGTAAAGAGAAGTTGGTTAATCCAACAGTATAAATAGGCTTGTATGGGCCTAATTCTCCGCCATTAGTCATACAGGCAACAGAAACCTATTTATCACTCACATGTAACGGATATGAGAGCTGCATGCTGTATCGTACAATAGTAACTTCATCAGATTGCAGGCCTGCTTGTCTTCAAATTTCACTGGAAGTCTGACAACACTTGGTCACAAATTGACACGTGATTTCTTCATTATACATTTATTATCAGGGACGGGAACATTGGAGTTGAATACGAGCCAGCTGCAGAGCTGAAACAAAAACCAAGCAAACAAATGATTATCAAAAGTTGTTTAAACCCCATTAGAATCATCATTCCATCATTCCTTTTGTTCTGCAGCGAAGTCCACTCGAAAGCTCTTCTGCCGTCCTTGCTACTAATAAAGTTATTAGTGCTGATAAAGGCAAGACACTAGCAATTTCTGTAATTCTTCATTGCCTGGGTTAACGATATAATAATATTTGAGCTCGTGATTAATTGGCACATTATTGAAAAAAAAGTATTTAATTATTTAGAAAACCCTTTGACTAACCAGGCACGGATTGGAATCCACAAAGAGCGTGTATGCGCGTGCTGCTACTTGGCAGCCGCTATTTGGCTCTCTCTTTTTAATACTTAATACGTGTCTACTTTTAAATGGCTCCCCCGCACGCGCTCATGCACGCGCTCAGCCCGTGCAGCACTAAAAGCCTGGCAACCATATATCTCTCGTGACGACCTCCTCCTGCAGCCCGCGCGCCTACACTGTGACCTCTTCGGCTCCTCGAGCTCTCCAGAATAATAAATTTCTCGGGCAACGTGGATGCTGGGAGAGAGAGAGAGAGAGAGAGAGAGAGAGAGAGAGAGAGAGAGAGAGAGAGAGAGAGAGAGAGAGATGACGGGGAAAAGGAGCGGGCGATTTGTCTAGCAATTAGCAAACGCGGGCCATAGAGGGAGGGAGGAAGGGAGGGAGGAAAATACAGAGGTTTGTGTAACTTTTGTGTATCTGTGTGTGTTCCAGTCTATGACGATCGCTGAACACATGCGCTCATATTCGGTGCCTGGCACCTGATGTTCCACTGCATGTGTGAGTGTTCTGTTTCCTGTGCAAAGCTGCTGTTGAAACATCAGTTCCATCGGTTGGCTCAGAGCCTCCAAACAGCGTGCAAAGCAAAGAGCTGCTTGTCTGTAAACTGCAGGTCACATCTGTCTGTATGATCCCCGGCTGTTTCATGCTTTTAACTTTATAGTTATTTACATGCTAATCCCCCTGACACTACAAAATAAGTCTTCTTTTGGATTAAGTGAAGCATCAGGAGCAAGTAGTCAAGCTACAGAGAAAACACTTCACACAAGCATACAGGTATAAAGTATCTTTCAGTAAAGGAAAGCTCAGCAGACCTTTGCGATATAAGAGAGATACTGTTTGTTTGTTTGTTTGTTTGTTTGTTTGTTTGTTTGTTTGTTTGTTTGTTTGTTTGTTTGTTTGTTTGTTTGTTTGTTTGTTTGTTTGTTTGTTTGTTTGTTTTTCAGTGAAACTGCAAGAGCTCAAAGTAGAAATTACATTAAGTCACTTGAAGAATTGGTCCTTTATGAATCATATTATAGTATTTCAATATCCATTAACACTCAACATTAACATCGAGGGATGGGTCAAGTTTGAATTTCCCCACATAATTGTAATATTGTATTATAGATTTATTCACCTGACTGCGGTATTTGTTACCAAAATGCACAAAAACACTTTTCTGTCACATGCTGGAATGGCTTGCCTATTTTTAAAACTGCATCCGTTAGTTCTTACGGGACTTGACAGAAATGTAAGTTAAAACAAAAACAAAAAATCCTAACAAAACAGCTGGTCTACAGCTTTTGTACGTTTTCCCACATCTGTGTCTGTATGTACTGTGTCCGACTCATCGAATGTTGCACTACTACCAAAATAAGCATAACATGTTTGAACATTTCAAACCGTAAAAATTGACATGGTTACTCTGAATACTTTTATAGTTAACTGTGATTGTACAAACCCTTGCCAACCCTATAAACCTTATGTAATAACTAGAAAACACCAGATCATTTAAAAATATATATTTTGCTAACTATCAGCTGGGTCACAGGGAAAAACAGATTGTGGAAAAAGAAATGATAGAAGTTTCCAAAGATTCCCAATAATACTCAGAAAATCAGAGTTCTATAAACTTCAACCTGTCCTGTCCTAAACTATTTGTAAACTGTGGCATTGAACCACTCCAGCTTCACATTTGCTGTAAGTGGAAAAACTGTCAATTAACGATCATCTTATCGTTACGCTATAGTACATGGCTGACCTGAGTCAAAGGTTTTCCCGATGCAAGGCAAAGTGCATAGCACAGTTTTAAGGATTCCGCCACCAGTGAATTCACAGCAGCTCATGTATAAATGTCTGACTACTTCTTAGTGGTTCATTTAAAATGTCTTTTGAAGTTTAATGTAATTGAAATGTCTTATAATTTTAATAAATATACACAGACACTGTTATGACTGATACACAACTTCTTGTTCATATACTTGTTGCTTTGCTGAATCAGTACTATTGAAGACACACGCACACACACACACACACACACACACACACACACACACACACACGCACACACACACACACACACACACACACACACAGGCGTGAACGTCCACTAGTTAAAAGGCTACTAGCAGCTTTTGCAGCCATGCAGACAGAAGGGGCATGCTGTGTTTACATTATCATCGAGGTCTGCGCAGCATCAGACCTAACACATCTACGACACAGTTTCGCACTTTAGCTCTCAGGACCAGACGCAGAGAGCCCCGGTCTTATATTCTCTAAACGACAGAGGGTTCAACGAAGGAAAGACATTTCCAGTAGTTTCAGATGACTCAAACCGCTACACCACACTTCAGTTGAAGTCCCAGTCAGAAGTGGCTTCTTACTGACCCCTGTAGAGGTGGATGAGTTGTCTGCTGTCTGTCTGTTTGGGTGTGGGAGTGGAGATATCACTGTTACCCCTGGGTTACAGTGCCCTGAACTCAGTCTGTTATGACTAAATGGCCTGGTGGCTCTGGAGGTCTGGGAATGTCCGAGGGAGCGCAACCTAGTGAGGTCAAGGGGGACAGGGACTAGAGGGGGTAGGTGTGGTGTGGAGGATGAAGAGGGGAGCCACAGGTCAGCCTCTGGTTTCAGAGCCACTGGACCTCATCGGTCAGAAAAAAACGTGTCCCCTGGCTGAACCCTCTGTGGCCTTAGCTTGGCCATTCCGTGTATGACCATTGATTTTTCCCTCCTCCATCTCTCCTTCTCTTTTTTCTTTCTATTCCGTTTTGTCCTTCCTTTCCACACATCGAATCACGCCGCACCACGCGTCCCCTTGAGAGGTTGAAGGCCCATCTAGCAGAACGCTACCCCTTAATTTGAATCGCTGGCAGATTGATTTCTGAAGGGGTCAAACTGAAGTGAACGCGCTTCTTGAGGCCGTCGCTGTTAGGCTCAGCAGATAGCAGAGGCCCTGAGCTCGCATCGCGACCGGCGATCATTGGCAGTTCATTTGAAAAGCCTCGCGAACCGTTTCTTTTCGAGCTAAATTGTTTTGAAGCGCAACCGAGACAGTATCCATTAACCAGCGCGCCCCCTCAGTTCGCTTAATTCCCCCCCCCCCCCCCCTGTCTAACTGAAGGCCGTATTATTCATATTCCCACTGCAGTGTCTGTAGCCTGCACCTGGCAAACAAAGTACACATACACATACACTAACAATATCTCATTAAAAGGTATAGGTCCTAAACCACAGAAACACTTTATAACCGCAGAAACGTAGCTAAGAAACAATGCATAATACGTTCCAGGAACCAGAAATTATTCTCGTGGGCCTTTCTGTCACATATTAGCAACAACATTTATAATTTTCCTTGAGTAATACGGGACTCCATAGGCATCCTTGTTAAGTTAGCAACTCGATAATATTATATAACCTATCAAAAATTAAAGATCTGCCTTTCGAAAAAGCACACAAAAACGGGCTCTTTACAAATACTATGCGTAAAAGACGCACCGCAGCACGTTCGACGCACAACAGCAGCTGTTTAGGAAGCGTCGGATCTCGTGGTTGATAAACAGACGCAGAGTTGACACCAATGGTTGCATAAACTGAAGGAAAAAAAGAGCACAACACACAGGCTCATTCCAACACAAACACTCCCAAAGCGCTTGCAGTCAAAAACCCCACGGCCGTAAATGCTCTTACAGCGTGACCTCGCCAAATGCGGGGGGGCAATAAAAACATAAAACACCACAACACAAGGCAACAGAAGCCAAAGCAGAGAAAGAAAAGACAAAATTTAGTCTCAGGCCCTTACCTTTCTTACTTTTATCGACCCGTGAGCCATCTTCTGCTTCGTCGTGAGGGATTTCTGAATGGTTTGTTGGAGTTCTTTGGAGAGATTTTCTTCTTTCCAACGAGGAAGAAAAAAAAAGTTTTTCTTCTTCTTATGGCAGCATGTTTATGTAGAGTAAAAAATAGCTTGGGTGGAAAGGGGAGGCGTGTGTGTAAAGGAGGTGTGTGTGTGTGTGTGTGTGTGTGGTGTGTGTGTGGGGGGGGGGGGGGGGGGGGGTGTCTTCGTAGTGTCTTCCAAGACGTCTCCTTTTTTCTCTTCTGTCCCTCTGGCAACCCCCCCAACCACCACCACCTCCAGAAGGGGTCTTGTGTGTGGCTGCCGGATGACAATAGAGAAGAAGAAAAGTAAAAGAACTGTTTAAAGAAGAACAAGTGATTAATGATTGTTTCTTGTATAATTTTCGCATTTTTCTTAAGGGGCCGTCCCCTCTGTCCTGTCCAGAAAATAATGGCGGTGAACATTTTTTTTTTCCACAGAGATTTGATATGTGTGCGGTGGGGGTTGGGCATCCTCACAAAAATCTGCTTGCTTTCACAGAAGCAGCAGAACGTCCCGGCTGATAAATAAATAAATAAATAAATAAATAAATAAATAAATAAATAAATAAATAATAAGGATTTTTTGGTGTATTTTATTATGCAAAATTGTCAGCCTGCACGCAAATCATGGGGCTTTAGGTCGTCATTTAGGTCGTCATTGTGTGTGTGTGTGTGTGTGTGTGTGTGTGTGTGTGTGTGTGTGTGTGTGTGTGTGTGTGTGTGTGTGCGCGCGAATGTGTTCAGATTCCCAATATGGGACAACTGATGTGTAGCAGATATTACCACATTTGGACACAAATATCATATTATAAGGAGGGGTATACAGCCTCAGGGTGAAGGAGGCGATATTAAACCACTATTGTTCTCACAATATAGGAAGAAAATGTATGCTTACTTTTAACAACTGGAGATGCAGGCCTAATATCTTTGGATTAAATCACGTTGTTTAATATAGAAAAACAAAAGACGAGATTAAATGTTTCACTAATGACACAGTGAAATGTACGATTTTACTGTTTTGACTCGAGTGGGTGCCCGAGCACATCTAGGGGTACAGTTTAATTGGAGGTGGCTTTTTGCGCTGGAGAAACCTCTCATAAATGGGAAGAAAACAGATAAATGGGCAACGTGAGTCTGTGTGGCAAGAAGCCCAGGGAGAAATCAACCAACAAGTAATAGGGAATCTTCTCTGGGCCGAGGAATACGAGAGAACCAATTTGGGGGGCACACTTTTTTTGTTTAAAGTTCATCGAGAAGAATGCTATTTTCTCGTGCCCCCCTCCCTTTTCTCTATATTTTTCGATACCTGTTCTAACAAAAGAAAATGAAAATTAATACGGGAGCCGCGCCTTACAAAAGAAGCCATTCGTCTTGTTGATTATCTATTTGGTTGTCAGGGTTTGAGCTATGGTGCGGGCCCGTTCCCTTTTTGTAATATATATATATATATATATATATATATATATATATATATATATATATATATATATATATATATATATATATATATATGTGTGTGTGTGTGTGTGTGTGTGTGTGTGTGTGTGTGTGTGTGTGTGCGCGGGCGGGCGCGCTCAGCAGTCCAGAAAACAACGAAAGGAGCAGAGAGAAAAAAAAAACAGTGTGGTGCAAAAATTACACTCATTAGCACATTAAGAGACCACGAACCGAGAAACTAATTTTGTTCTTCAGAACTACACACAGAAAGGAAGAAGGGAGGGGAGCTGTCACCTATGGTGTGTCGGTCCGGTGCAAGCGCATCTGAGCAGCCGTTAAATTAACCGGAGGACGGCCGCGAAACGGAGGGACGGTTTGTGATTTAAAACGAGATTACAGGATGTAATGTACCAAGATCACTCACGGCCGGGACAGATTAATCATCGCAGGCTCTTGATTTCGAAAGACAGGTTGCTTTGCCTTTGCAGGAAAAACCAAATTTGAAATTGTATGAAACTGTTGTGTATGGAAGCATTTCTTCTACTACTCAAATCTGGGGAGGTAAGCAGAAACAGTAAAATTCAACAGGACTCCAACTGTTATTCCTAGAAAACCCATTTTACATATAGAAAATGGAAAAATAACAAGTAATAATAATAAGATAGAAAGGGTACGTTTTCAGTCATTTATTTAAATGTCTATGGACTATTTACAAATAAGAGGACGGAGCAACATACACATCGGGGGATGTAACACATGTTCACCAGCACCATTTCATCAATAACGATCGAAAGGGATCTTTGGAATGTTAAGAAAATGGCATCAGTGGAAAGAAATAACACTTTTAGAATAAAATATCTAAAAAGAGACACAAAGTGAAAGAATAAACGAGGAAGGGGCAAAGAGAAAATGAAGTGCGCGCGCATTTAATGCGCGGAGAAAGAACAAAGGGGCATCTAAAAAGAAATAAATCACTTTTCATGCAGAGGATACTTGTTTGTATGAATGTCTCTTTGCTGCACAGTTGTGGAATTGTCTTTTTAAATGTCCACAAGATTTTTTGTATGGCAGGTAATAATAATAATAATAATAATAATAATAATAATAATAATAATAATAATAATAATAATATATTTTCACACAATTTTAAAAATATAGGAGCTCAGAAAGCTTTCACTTCATTAAACGAGCGAAAAAAATTACATAAAAAAATAAACTTATCGATATCGTCCGATCCAGCGCGTATAGATAGAGACACAAACGCACGCGCGAGCACACTCTCTCTCTCACACACACACACACACACACACACACACACACACACACACACACACACACACACACACACACACACAGAACTGAGGTAATAGGTAGTACATCGTATAGTGCTGTGTTTCTGTCATCATTAAAGTATCTGTACCGGGATTTTGGTGTGATCATTAGTGTCTTTTGTAAGTTGATGGAAATTACTTAATTTCACTTTAATAACCCTGTTACACTGTTTGCTTGTATACAACATCATATTACGAAAAATCAACTGATCACAAAACGCTCATCGTCACTCTCAGCATCAACAACATTTTATATTTCAACACTAAATTCAAAAAGAACTAGAACTAAAAATGAAGAACTATAGTTCGCCGTTTAACAAAACAAAAGCACCAGTTTAAACAGCAAGACGGCAAACTGCCTGGTGTTACTTTGGATCATATCGTGGTTTGTATGTTAAAGTACTATAAGGACACATAGAGGTAAGCGAGCACGTGTGGCTTTTCTATGAGTGTGTATGGAGTGCAAGAATGCTTCACTTGACCAAAGGAGAGTTCAATATATTACACGTGCGCCTTAAGTGTGACAATGGGGGAGAGGGTGGTGGTGATGGTGTGTGTGTGTGTAGTAGTAGTAGTACGGATGTCGTAGGGAGTGGTGTATTGGGAAGAGCAGTTCACCCTTTTGCTATATACCCACAAAATAAACATTACAAACGGGGGCAGAATTTGGCATGAATAAAGATGAAAACGAGGATACATCTTTAAATTAAAAGAAGTCTTGAATAGTAAAGGAACAGGAAAAGAACCACACACGCGCTGGGAACAGTATCTTCAGCCTACCACCCTTTGCTCTGTCAGAGGGAAGGAGAGAGAAAGAGTTTGAAATAGAGAGAGAGAGATGGATAATAGAGAGAGAGGGGGGAGAGAGAGGATTATAAAAGGACGAGTACAGAGAGGAAGGCAAAGAAGGAAAGCGGGCGAAAGCAACGTTCTCTTAGTTCTTTCATCTTCTTCGGGTAGTTTTGATCATTTTCATATATAAAGGAAATCTCCCTTGCCATCCCTTTTTACATCATAAGGTCATATTATTGTGAGAAACATCAGCGCAGATCAGGGCCAGAACGGCGGCTATGACATCTCTCTCTCCCCCCATACCAAAAACATTCCGGCCCAAAGTGCAGGTTCCGGTGGTTGCAAGCGTGTCAGGCCCGTCTTTTCAGTGTGGGATTCAGGGAGCAAAGGGGGAAGGACAAATTGCCTGCATCAGACAAACAGCCAAAGAATGGGCTATAGTGGTCCGGAAGAACGGCTCTGGGATCCGGCTAGAGCCTGGGAGTTTGTATTGTTGCTGCCTGTTCCAGAGCGGACCTTGGTGTTGGGCATCTTGTGGTCCTTTTTCCATTTCATCCTCCGGTTCTGGAACCAGATTTTGATCTGCCGTTCCGACAGACACAGCGTATGCGCAATCTCCACCCTGCGCCTGCGCGTCAAGTACCGGTTGTAGTGGAACTCCTTCTCGAGCTCTAGAACCTGCTGGCGCGTGTAGGCCGTTCGCGAGCGCTTCGGCTCACCCCCAGTGTAGTTTGAACTTACTGTAGAGAAATAATAACAATGAACGTTATAGCATTAACATGTAATAATAATAATAATAATAATAATAATAATAATAATAATAATAATAATAATAATAATAATAACAATAATAATAATAATAATAATAATAATAATAATAATAATAATAATAATAATGCGTTTGGATCTACAAAATGGGACATGACTGCAGCCCCTTTCATCCTTTCCTGTCAAACGCCGAGCTTACAGCCTGGCTGGTTTATTTTACAGTGTCTCCTTTGAGGAGGAGATTATATTTTGAAACGTGTTGTCAGGTGTCATTCTGGGCCCTGCGGTGGTGGGAATCCTGGCAATACTGCCAGCTTGCAATTGATGTCCAAATGTTGTGATGTAAGCTTGAAAAGCGGCGCTGTACTGACACGTCTGCGCAACGTACGACCGGCATTGCAATACAGGATCATGGCAAGCAGCAGGGCCAATTGCAGCGTCCCTTTCAGCATGTTATGCGAGAGATTGTAGCATCGTCTATTACTTGGTGTTTAGGAATAAAAGGTGGTGGTACAGCAACGTTTGCGGTAGGGGTGAAGGGGTGGGTAATATGTACGACAGTCACTGACAGATTAGGTAATGATTCAACAAATTTCAAAAACTGCAACATACGGTTTTTACGCAGCCAGCAAACAGAGAAAGCAGAGAGAGAGAATGAAAATGAAAGAAACAAAGCTTTCTTCTTCTTCTTTCTTGTCAAGTATACAGCGAAGCGGAGTGAGTGCATTACGGTGCAAAAGTGACTCCGCTTATCCCAGTATGCAGCAAGTATGTTAAAGCATCACAGATAAACTATAATAGACTGCAGCTATTCGGTCTTGCATTAGTGTTTTACGACCGGATCCATAAACATGAATATTTCAGCTGCTATAAAACTTTCCCTCCCATGGAACAACGACTGGGGAAGGAAGGCTAGACAGAGTAAAGTACACCGTTTATACAACCCGGCCACTTAAAATCAAATTATCACAGCATAAAAGCTAACTTATGGGCTCGGTCTGAGTTGTCATAAGGCGACGAATTAGAGCCGACGAGCGAGAGATCGGACTTCAAAAGGCACCTCAGCGAAGAGGTGTAATAAAAATTTATGGAGGGTGTAATTATATTGGCTCCGCAAACAGACGATCGTAAATCTCGACCCAAAGGCTACTCTCCTACTACTCCTAAGGAAAAAACGGGGGAGCTTTTCACGGTGGAAACCTAGCTGACTATACACGGGCACAAAGAAAAAGAGAGGGGGGGGGGAGAAACAAGTTTGTATGCTTCTCTTACCGATGTTTACATGAACTTTCTTCATCCACGGGTACACTACGGGGTCCTTACGAGTGCTTGTTGGGGAAGAACTGCTTTGGCTGTGGGGTGTTTGACCGCAAGACGGAGGTGGAGGCGGGCTCGGTGTCACGGAATCACAGCGGTGGCTCTGCTCCGGGAGTGGAGTGGTCTGCAGTCCGGTCGGGGCGACGACATGACCTCGTGGGGACATCACCACCGAAGCGGTCTGCGATCCACGCTGGCACTGTGTGTATGGAGGCTCGGCTCGCTGCTGCTGGCTGTGGTTCTGGTGCGGGTGGTGCTGATGGTGGTGGTAAAGAGAGTCCGGCTGGAAGGGAGCAGGCTCCTCTCTCTGGGAGCTGTAATAATCCGGAGAGTGACTGGGCAAATAGTCACTCTGTGAGTATTCCTCGCAAGGTGGAAACTTGGGGTCCACATAGTTGGAGTTGATCAAATAGGAGCTCATGGCCATTAATTTCTGTCTTTTTGTGGAACTGCACCTACTTGGAAAATATATAACTAAAATTTATATCTCATCCCTTTACTCTTCGGTTATTCCTGTTCCGTTGAACCCTCCTACTTTTCTGTCAAGTGAACAAAGTTAAGACACCACGTGACTACAGTCGGCCAATGGCGCACATCCAGAAGGAACCCCGGATAAGGAAATAGGATTAAGGATAAACACGGCCCCAGCACGCGCACTATTATATGCCCTCAGTTCGTGGGCGCTCAATACTTTTCCCGTCTCTCTCCATATGTCTCCTCTTTATATCTCTCCACCTCAGCAGACGGAGAATTATAAAATTAACAAAGTGCGTCACTGACGATAAAAAATCCACTCTGCTTTGACAAAGTCGAGCAAAAGAGTACGGCGCAGATGAAGAGTAACCCCCCCCCCCCCCCCCCCCCCCACGACACACACACACACACACGAAGTCACGCACACACACGCCCCACGCCGCATTGCAACTGAACCCTCTCTGCTTCTGACGCGTCCGATTGGAACTTTAAATAGACAAATACAGAGGAAAAAGCAACAGAAAGAAAGTGCTGGGTAGATTTAAAGTTGATGTGTGTGTTTGGATGTGCTTTTTTTTTCCTGCTCTTCGCTAATCGCTAATAACGAGAATTGGAGAGTGGCCCGGCTCTTCTATTGCGCCGCCACCCAGCAGCAGCACTGTGTCAGAGATAAATTTGGCTTGTTTGGGATCGATAGAAAATTCATCAACTAATTCAGGTTACATACCTCCTAAATCACCGGCAGACCTTTGCATTAGAGACGGGACCCACCACCCCCTAAAAAAAGAATAGAGAAAAAACTTGCTCCTACAGGCTTCCATTCAACATTTCACATTTTTAACTGGCCTCGCATAATAATTCTGCCTGGACCGGGATCGCATGAATAAACAGGACTTGTTTCCACGCACTTCCTAATATCAACTTCCGTGGCATATTGAGTCCACGCACTCCATGCGTTTGCCCTTGAGCTGTTACTGAACAGAGGTACGACGCTCTTTGTTTTGGAACCCATCTTGCCAACTTTGACCATCTAACACAAGCTGCCACAGACTTTGAGAGTTGTGTTTCCTCGTGTCAGATACTGACCCAGTGTCATGTAGCACAGTCTCAATCTCTGCTTGGTGTCGCTTCTTTTTACTTTAACAAAACAGCGAAAAACAAAGGTTTTTACTTGCAGACAAGGGAAGCACGTTCCAGCATGCACCACTGATAAATCTGATTATTCTCTATAACTACCTTTTGCACAGAATTGCTTTTTCTATAATCATCAGCATCAAAACGTGGCAAAACACATTTAAAGCAAAAGAAAACACAAATTATGCGTTCGGTAGATTGGAGAAGTTGCAGTCCGCTTTCGCTGGTGTTATACGATAAAAGGTTCATGCTCAGACCCGCACACAAACACGGGAATGATGATGTAGATGTCAAAGTCCTTTGTTTCGAGAAAATTGACCGTCTCGACCCCCCCACCCCCACCCCCTTACGCCTTCTCGAATGAACAGTGAAGCAGGCAGCATCATTTTTCAACAAGAAATAAAAAGTCCAATTCAGCCCGGAGTTGGGATTGAAGACAGCAAAGCGTTCTGATGACCAGAATAAATAACAGTTGAGTTTTATCACCGAACAGACACAAGTGGTTTAAAATGCACATCTGTATTTATGTGTCCAAATGCATTTTGAAAATTACAAAACTCCCCTTTCCTTTCTTTCTTTTTCCCCCCTCTTTTTTAAACGAACGAATTTTATAAAAATCTAACTGAACAAAAGCTGTACCAGCCAGGAACCGTAGCTGAAGGCCTCTCCTCATTGTATTGGATCCTTCGACGCCGTTGTGTATAAATCCACTATATACTCCCCTAGAAGCGAATTTGTGATTTTATTAATGATTTTTACACAAATCCGGATCTACAGGGTAGATATAGAAGACATTGACTGACAGTGACGGTGTGGGGGCGCATATCTACGCCGTCCACAGGATTTTATTGCTTAGAGAAATTCCCGTGTGTTGCCACTATAGGAAAATTCCATTCGTCAGTACTATCTCTGACCCGTGACCCTCTCACCGCGGGTGGGGAGTTGGCAGATGAAGTTATGAAGTTATAATACTTTCACGCTTCCTGTAACTCGACGGTGTCCAAAAAAGCAAAGAAACAAAAAAAGAAGAAGAAGGAAACCCAAAACCAAACAAGAAATATTATATATATATATATATATATATATATATATATATATATATATATATATATATATATATATATATATATATGAATGAAGTCGTGAGATAAGGTATAAGTGGTCGGAGCAAGCAATATAGGTGGGCTCCAGTACTGAAATTTCACTGTGGAGCTGCAAGCATAAATATGGCCTACAAAAACAAAAGAGGCCTTACTTGGTTTTAATGGAATGTGCGTTAAATGACTGCACACACACATATATATATTCATCAACTACATTTTTTGGTAAATAAATGCTAATTCTTTTTCTTTTTCTTTTGACTTTGAAATTAAAAAAAGTTTGATTGAATCTCAAGATATTCATGAACTCTACAAAAGTAACTCAAATAAAATTTAATTAGAATTAAAGTTCTAATTAGTCACAAAAGGGGGAAAAGAGGAAAAGAAAGAAAAAAAGAAGAAGAAAAAAGATCCTGGCATCTCCAACTGTGCAGCAACTAAAAGAATGAAAACAAATTAATGAAGAAAAGACAAATCACTTGGCACAGGGAAACACGGTCCTATCAGAAATAGTTCTGAGCATCTGACTGAAGAATGAATGGAGTGGTGAATAAATGGATGATTGTCCGTTCACTGTACTAAATGAATTGCAGTCAGTCTTCAAAAGTCTGATTTAAATGAATCAAAAAATGATCTAATCAGCCACCATAGAGAGGATTGTATAGGGAGGACCTATTTTTATGTCTTCATATATGTATATATATATAAAAAAAAAAACACCCATCACGCCCCTGCGGGCGGTTTATCCTTCAAGCTCGGGTCCTCTACCAGAGGCCTGGGAGCTATATATATATATATATATATATATATATATATATATATATTATATATTTGTGTGTGTGTGTGTGTGTGTGTGTGTGTGTCTGTGTGTGTGTGTGTTGTATTGTATTTATTGTAAATGGTAAACCGTTGCAACTGTGACAATTACAAAATAACATTATTTAAATTGTAGGTATTTACCCATGAACCACAACTAATCTTCCTATGATATCCCAGCAATCAGTTCCTGTAAATAAATCATAAATAGATCATAAATAAACAATTTAAATGCAATTTATAAAGGAGTGGCATGCTGTTCTCGGTCACATGTTTGTCCTGATATAGTGATATTTTCTGTCACGCTGCTCCCACGTAGGTTTTGTGACTCTAACGCTCGTTGTGCAGCTAATTAAAACAACTGAAATAAGTAACTTACTTATTTATGATCTATTTATGATTTATTTAAAGGAACTGATCGCTGTGATACTATAGAAAGATTAGTTATGGTTTATGGGTAAATACCTACAGTTTAAATAATGTTATTTTGTAATTATCACAGTTACTACGGTTTACCATTTACAATAAATACAATAAATATATAACATAAAGTATATGTATTACTACATAGAAATGAAATACAGAATATCTATCTATCTATCTATCTATCTATCTATCTATCTATCTATCTATCTATCTATCTATCTATCTATCTATCTATCTATCTATCTATCTATCTATCTATCTATCTATCTATCTATCTATCTATCTATCTATCTATCTATCTATGTGTGTTTCTTTGTAACCTTGACCTGTCTCTATGCTTTGCAGGTCATCTCAGGTATCGATCAAGGTGTGTTAAGTCTGACTGGGGCACTTCCCTTCCCTCTGTCAAGTCTGTCAGCAGTAGCCATTCAGTAGACGGGCGGCCCATTGTTTGGGGCTACAGGTAAAGGTCAGTGTGCGAAGCACAGATCCAGACACACTCACAGGTATTAAGATACAAGGAGACAAAAGCAAAGCGATCTTGTTGCCAGAAAAGAGTCTTATGATCTAGACATCATGCTATGCAATAGTAGCAAAACATGATAAGGATCCGTCTCGCCTATTTTACTAGTTGTAAAATACACTGATTTGATCTTACAGTTTAGATAAACATTATAAATCCTCACCTGTCGGAGGCTAAGGGCCACTTCACTAGCTGCGGCACTCCCATCTGAAACAACCAGACAGTCCTGTTTTCAGTCCACAAGCGAAAATACTTAATTTAGTGCTACACAGTCAAACAATTAAAAAGTCATGGTGTCTCTCTAAGCTATAGCATGTAAACGTAATATCAGCGCATATTTCAAGCGGGAGAGTGGAGCTAAAGGAGGACAGCACGCAGTAGTGCGAAATAAAGAGAATGGAAAAGGTCAGCGATTTGCATTTCAGCATGTGAGTTTTATTGCGGGTCAATTCCTTTTACAGCTGAAACACCACATAGGCTCAAGTGGTAGCTCAAGAAGTTAGGGGTGAAATGAAAAGCAATAAAATATTCAGGGGGCAGGAGAATAAATACGTTTAAAAGCCGCCCCCATTACAATTTACGACTTTCAAATGTCTTCGTCTCAGAAGCCCACAATCTCAGCTACCGCTGAAAGCTGTTAAAAGCACCTGTCGCACAATGCTTGTAGTTAACAGTAAACTGGGATTAAATTCTTATTTGAAACAGAGTTATGTAAACGGACACTAAAGTATGAGTTCACATTGAAGGGATAGCAATAGTGAGATTTCACAGTAGAGACAGATGAAAAAGTCTTGTAGGCTATACTTGTGTTAGAAGTACAAAATCGTGCGCTTCGTATACAATACTATCCTAGCAGAAAACTGCTATTTTGAAAGGGTTTTTTTTTAATTTACTTTAATTTATTTATGGTTTGTTTTTTTTTTACATTTTTAAACTACTAAGAACTTTCCCACAACACAAGGTCTTATATGGTTTAAGTCTGGTAAGAGAAAACTAGAGGGAACATACTGAAGGGTTAAACGGCCCTATTATGTGCAGCGACCGGACTTGTCAGTGTTCTGAAATATTACCGAGGCGAAAAAGCTACAGGGACAACGACGAAGAAGAGAAATGTGCTTTACTTCTTTGTGCAGTTTGAAAAATAAATTGAGCTCCATTCCCCTGGTTATTGTCATGCAAATTAACGGACAGAGAGGGAAAAATGAAGCGTTGCAGCACGTCCCTCCCTGTGGCAAGTATTGGTCTGGAGAGAAAAATAAATAAATAAATTAAAAAAAAAAAAAAAAAAAAAAAAATATATATATATATATATATATACATATATATATATATATATATATATATATATATATATATATATATATATATATATATATATTATGTGGAGACTGGACGCTCGTCTGTGAGAGTAAAAGATAATTTCACAAACTGACGGTAGGTACAACTGAATAGTGCTAAAAGAACAAGATAAGCGAAGTGGGTTGAGCCAGAGCAAATATAATTATTTCCCTCACATTTCCAAAACATCGCTTCTTCTTCCCCTGATACAGCGAAATCATAAGCCTTCTCAATACTCAACATACTAAAAAGACAAATAATAATAATAATAATAATAATAATAATAATAATAATAATAATAATTTAGACTAACACATAAAGCTTGCAGTAACTTAGGCTACTTTTTTGTCCTATTAGTAGCATATGATATAGGACCAGGAATAGCTTCTCTGTACAGACAGAGAAGCAGAAAAGAAACAAAATAAACAAATTATTCGTTTTATCCGAATACAAGCTCACAACCCAACACCCAGAGGAAGAGAGAAACAGGCGGTCAGTAACATACACCTGAAAAACTGTGGCATTTATCGGCCCAAGCTTCATATACCACGTGGTCGTAGGAAACAACATATGAAAAAAACTGCAGCGATGCTAATGGTGAATCAAAATAACTCACATGCATCTGTAGTAGGGTGCAAGGCCTTCACCCTATCTATCTATCTATCTATCTATCTATCTATCTATCTATCTATCTATCTATCTATCTATCTATCTATCTATCTATCTATCTATCTATCTATCTATCTATCTATCTATCTGGTTGAGAAGAGTAAAAACTGTGCTTCTTGGATATGTAAAACCTCAGTCACCCTAAATTGTATAATAAAATGCACTCTCAAGTAGGATAGATCCAAGCTTAATTAGGCTAGCAAATTAATAGCCTGGGTATTGAAAGGAAATGTAGCTCTCACAGATGAAACACACAGTTCATGTCCCCGCAGTGTGACGTGCACAGCCTCCAACAGTCCGAAAATATGAATTGATAAGGTCACTATATCGTAAAAAAAATTCTTGCGAAGGGTGAGTAGGGTGGGGGGAGGGGAGGGGGGGGGGGGGGGGAGAAGGGTGGCAGTGATTGAAGGTAAGGAGGGGGTTTTGCACCAACTCTTACACGTGGTCTTCCCCTCTTCCCTGTGGGCAAAGCACCTGCCACACAAATACACGGTGCGAGTAAAATGCGGGCATACACATATGCAGATGAGGCAGCTTGTTCTTCTACAGCGCGATTTGTACTCACTCTTCTGAAGCTCGCGGATCCTCCTTTCCGTTCTAGCGTCGTCACGTTAAGCTCAACCATTTTTTTATGTTATCATTATCTTCTTCTTCTTTACATCTGCAATAATTCGGCAGCTGCGTTCCACGTTTTTTCCCTCCGTACTGCGAAGCCTCCCTCCTAATTCAGCTTTCACACCTCAGTCTCCCTTTTCTCTCTCTCGCTCTTTCCTCTCTTTCGACGCCACAGATGTTTTTGACCTCTTCGAAAAAGAAAAAAAGTCCTTGTCGCTCACGAGCGTGCCGGCACACGGGCAGAGATAGACCCTGTGGTGAGAGTAAACAAGGATCTGTCAGACCAGCACGGTTCACAATCCGTGCCTAAATGCGGTGATAGTGTTAGAGCAAGGGCCAGTGTAATGGCGACAATCCAGCGCAAACAACGGCAAAGCTTCACCCTGCGACATCACAGCCAAGCGCTAAAAATGTTCAGTGATAAAGCACTCTTCTTTCCCCCATCACCGGTGGCCGTTCCCCGTGTTTTCCGGTCCTACGGGGAGCTGTTTGGGGCTGAGAGAGCGCGAGAGCAGGGCTTCTGTGAAGACTGTGGGCTCTTTAAGGCATTAAGTGTTGTGTGCGTGTGCATGAACTCAAGTTTTCAAATTAATCTGCCAGTTTGGCACACTCTTTGTTTAACGGGCGAGGCGTGTCACCCCGCGTCCCCGGTACGCATTTTAATATTGGTGAGACGCGCTGACCTCCCGTTCACCCCGAGCAAAGCCAAGCCTCTCCCTCTCTTTCTCACTCTCCCACTCCCTCCCCTTTCCCCACCCTTTCTTCTGCCATTTCCACCTCTCTTCCACTCCTTTCTGTGCCTCATCCCCTCTTTCTGTCTTTCTTCTCCTCCTCTCTCTCTGTCATACTAAATTGAGTTGGAGTCATTAATTCGAAGAAAAATGGCCAGTACATGTGGAGGAAGAAGGGGCTCTCTCTCTCTCTCTCTCTCTCTCTCTCTCTCTCTCACACACACACACACACACACACACACACACACACACACACACACACACACACACACACACACACAGTCTTTTCTTCCAGGATCATTTCTCCTTTTCCTTTTGTTGCATAGATATAAATAGTGCACGGTGTCATGTGGACCCAGATCGTATAACGACACCGCCTCTTCGGAGAGTTGTAAAAGAATATTTTGTCCAAACAAATGCAGTGCACTGTAGCGGGGTTCGTATAAACAGATGCTTGTATTGTGCTCAACGGTCTTGGAACCTGCGGACATGGGTATCAGGTGGATTTATGTTGATATTATTACGCTCTGCAAACCGCCAATAGATTCTTATCGAGTTCACTGCAGCCACATGTCCACAGAGCGCTTAAATTTGAAAATTTTTATCGGTAGAATGTAGGTTTCTGTTCGGTACCTGTTCAGTTTGGGTTATATTTTCGTATGTATCTGGATAGATAAGGACCAAGGCAAAGAAACTGGTACTTATAGACGGGCAAATGGGGAAGCTAGATTATTAAAACCGTTCTGCTATAGGCAGACAGGCGCGTGGGCTGCGACATACACTGAATTAATGAGGTGAACTCTGGATGAACCCAGAGAAACGCAACATTTTTGAACTGAGTTATTCCCCCATTACCTTCGGAGGATGTGCGTATGTGTACTGGTGGAAAAGACGAAAAGTCAGCCTGTTTTATGCCAAAGTTGATTCATTGTTTATTCTTTAATTTATTGAGAAAATCAGCTGTTCCAAGAGTCCAAATCCTTTCCCTCTCTACACTGCCCTGTTCTAAGAGAAAAGGTTCAGTTTAAGATTACTTCTAATCATCATCTTTAAGGTTAAATTTATTAGATTATGAGAAATGATTGAGCAGCATCTCCCGAGTTGGACGAATATCCGAATGTAACACTGCAACAATTATTAAATTTCCCTAGATTTTCTATAACAACTTTAGTTCATTTTATATTATTATTATTGCTGTTATTATTAGCAGCACCGGAAAGAAAGAATGAGAAAATGAAAAAGACGTGTGGGGGAAATCCAAGCAAACGGTACAGGACGTTAATCTCGCAAAGGAAAAATCAGATAAGGGGAGTAATATTTTTTTGGATATAGAGCGAGATAAGAGTTTGATTGTTTTTTTGGGTTTTTTACGGGGCTGTGCCTATAAGACTCCGGAGAGGAAGAGCTCTGCTTTACTAAACTTGCATCCTCAAACACACATCAACATGTCTTAGTATCAAATATAAAACCCCTGCTTGAAGACCACATATATTTAGTTATGCAAGTGAGCGCGCGCATGCACGCGTGTGCCAAATATTCAGAAATCTTTAAATTTATTGCAAACGGTATTAAGGGTAATTCATCTCAGTATAAGGGTGTAAAAAAAGAAGAAAAAAATAACGTGAATACTTGAAACAAACTCTAGCTGGTGTGAACAAAATGTGTACCAAACACCTGTAATCCCCCCAGACATCCATTTACCTCCTCCCCTCCCACCACCTTGACTCCTCCATTTTCTCTACCCGCCCGCACATTATTGTTGCAGGAGGAGCTTTGCTGTTATTACTGGGGAAGAGAAGGCAAGGTCAGGCCTTCGCCTCTCCTTTGCCTCCTGCTATCATTTCTCTCATCCGTACCCCCTTCCCAACCTCGGCTACTCTGACTCCCTCCCTCCTCCATTTTTGCCTTTGACATACAGCAATTGGTCCAGGATGGAGTGAGTGAGTAGAGACGAGGGCGGAACTCACGCAAGACGGTGAACTTTTGACCCTTCAACTCAGTGACCCTGTCTCTGCAGGCTGGGTAGTAGCTCGGACATCCAGTTATGTTTTTCTCTTGATAATAAGACTCCTCGTCTTTGCCCTGGGCCGGAATAAGACGGAGGAAACCTATAGTAGCTAAAGGCTATAATAACTTGCTTGCTGGACTGAATGTTGCCTGGTTTTGTGTTTTTACCTGAGTCTGCTGCTACTTAGCAATGCAGTTTAAAGGAAATGATAATTAAGTGCTTAAATGACATTTTTTTTAATCTTACTTTTTGAACCTTACACTTAATGGCACAGGCTACTTGTGTGTTTTTATACAATCACCATCAATCAGCTTCAGAGAAGCGCGACCGCTCTGACAGTTGTGTATTTTAACTGAGAGAGAGATAGACGGGAGGTTGTTGCAGGTTATCGTCAGTTAGGATTCAAAGGGATGCACGTGCTGGGAGGGAGAGAGGTACAGGCAGAGCAGGGCAGGGCACGTGGGGGTCTTTTGAGCTCATTCTCGTCCTCCTAGTGGTCTAAAGCGGGCTCTGGTGGCGGCGCAAGAGAGCTGCATTCTCAGGAAAAAATATGACCTCCCCAGGCATGTTGAAACCACAGAATGGAGGTAAATAGAAAGAAGAGTACAACCTCACCACCACCCAAAGCGCTCTAAAAATATGAATTAGCACAGAAGGCACAGTAATTATTGGAATGGCAAAACGCCATTGTGATGGCAAAACGCTTGATGGTGACACACTGATTGTTGCAACAAGTTAATGTGTATATTTCCTTCATTATACATATGTTGCATGTTATTATAAGCTACTTCCTATCTGCTGTTATTTAAATGCATACTTCTCCATTATGATAACTATTATGTGACTGAACTATCTAAAATGATCGCAACTTCTATACATAAAACTTTAACAAAATTAAATTATATATTTGAAAAGAACAAATATTGACATAACCTGAACTTTCTCATAACCCATTGCCAAACAAGTCCGTTCTGGTGTTACCCGGGCTTTATTCAAATTGCACAAAGGGCCACTAATAAAGGCCTTTTTAGTGCAAACACTTAGGAAGTCAGTGAGAGCATCTTTCTGTTTATTCCCAGCATCCAGCGCTGATTGTAGGTGCCTTTCAGTGACTTAGACAGGCTATTTTCAATTAGCAACTTTAAATCCAAAATGAGCGCTGGTTTTATGGCTATTGTATTATTGGTAGTGTGTTTAATAGTCAACCTTTTGGTGGTGGGTTAATTGAACGGTCTATTTGCCCAGTGCTCTGCCTGAAATTGTCGAAGTTTGACGTTTGGCTTAGGCAAATTTCCCTTTTTTACCATCAAAATGGAGAACACTTTAAAGCAACCACCTGTTCATTCCACCCGCCCACTATGTTGGTGAGGTAAATATACATACACTTGAATTCTGTAAAGAGGAGGGGGGGGGGGGGGGGGGGGGGTTGTTAACGCTGACCTGCAAGCCTTTCTTCCTCCAGAGTAGAGCCAGGTCAGCAGACAGGCTCTGCTGACCTGGCGGTGACTTCTTGGTATGCATTATTCATGAGGCTTGGCCGCGTGGTTCACCCCAAGACTATGCTGAAGATATTAAGGCCGCAAATGCCTATTTAAATGCAGCGCAATCACACCAAGTGACACGAGGGAAGAAAAGAGACAGGGATTTGCGGAAAATGGGCAAAGGTTGGCAGTTGGATTTTGTTGTTTTTGTTTTTCTTTCAGTTATTTATTTTATAACTTTGTCTCACAAGTCAGTGATTTCTTCACAATTTGAATATTTTCCCATGCTCAGCCTCATACACCCCACACACACAGACACACACACACATATACATAGCTCTCTCATGCCCTTCCAATAAATCTACCAAACACAGCAAAACACACCCCACTTACTCCTACACAAAGCAGCCGCTCTCACACAGACACACACACACCTTTGCAGCGCAATGGGAAGGAGAAAAGGGGCCGATCGCATTAGTTACTCACCTCACTCATCATCACCAACACACAGGCTGTAAAGCCAAACTCAGCGCCTTTTGACAGTTTGGACAGGTTCAAAGGAGCAGCAAGTCTCTACACATAATACACATATTACACATAATACTGAAAAGAAGCGCGTCTGTACACTGGAGCTGCCCTGTGTACATAAACGGGAAACACACACACACACACACACCAAAAACAAAGGAGCCCATACAAAGCCATTGCTGCGCCTTCCCATGTCATAGCCTCTCTCGCTTACCCGGACAAGAAAAGGAACTACTTTGTGTCACGCGTGTCATGTCCTGTCCCTGCGTGTGTACAGGTTATGGAGCTATAGGGAGAGTGTAGGCTCTTGGTGCTAAAGGGAGGTGTTCCTGCATCATCACTAAAAGGAGGAAATTGATGAAAAATGAAATAGGGAGGGTTTTTTTGCCTTCCTGTTTACCGAACTGAAACTTCCTCAAGGACCTAGGCCGCTCCCTAAACGCTCGTGTGTATGTATTTATAAACCAACGGAAAAAGGAGGAACATAATAATAATAATAATAATAATAATAATAATAATAATAATAATAAATAAAACAAAATAAAACGGACCTACATTAAATTACATTACATTACATTTAAATAAAAGTCTTTTAAAAATAAAAAATCTTCCTTATTTCTCTGTTTTTGGAATTACGTTCGACTGTGCTTAACTGCGCCACAAACTAAAAATGGCTTGAAATAAAAACCATTGCGATTTTGGGAAACATTCTATTATTTTAAGGTAATTAATCAACTACATTTTTTTAATTAAAAAAGGAATTCATTTGTTTTATCAGATAAACGTTTACAG